AGAAGCCCTATCTGCAGCAGATAGGCGCGTTCCGCTTTCTGCTGCATTGGAAAGGGCGGTCCCCAATCAACACGCAGCAAAAGCCTATCTGCAGCAGATAGGCGCGTTTTCTCCGTCTGCTGGAGGGGGGGTTGTTGCTCATCAAAGCACTTTAGAAGCCCTATCTGCAGCAGATAGGCGCGTTTCCACCGTTTGCTGGAGTGGAAGGGGTGGTATTTTAAAGAGACACCGCAAGGCCCATCTGCACCAAATAGGTCCAACTCAAACCAAAGAACAGCGGAAACCCTAAGCCCAACGGAGTTCAATTGCCCAGCGACCTGATGAAAGCCATCCACGAAACTCCGGCCTTGTCAAAGAGAAAGGCGTTGCTGACAATGCAGTGTTGTTGCGTGCGCGTATGTCCAGGTGTTCCAATGTTGGTTCAGACCCGACATCACTTAATTTCGTATTTCCCACGACGTCACTTAATTCCATTTCCAAGTTAACGAAAATAAGCGACGACCCGCGAATTATTGTAATTCACCCACATAAATGCGTATAATATGGTTTTCGTTTCTTCCAGTTTAGTCATTCGCTTGGGTGGGCTTGGAACCGCCGGCTTTCGTTTTGTTACAGCTAGATCAGCTAGATCCGTTTTTCACGGGGTGCTTGAAGCGCATATTGAATATGACTGAGTACCAAAAAACTACCTCTGAACGCCAAAGATACTCTTTGCATCGGCCCCGTCCCCTGGTCGCACGTGACGAGGTCGCACTATGACTTGGTCTCCACGCAGTGGCTGAGGGCAAGAGAGCAGGCCTTGATCGAGGCCTTGACCTGACGGATCCAAATGGATCTATTTGGCCAACGGATAGATGGAATCGTTCTCAGAATGCCCGTGGCGTGTCGAACCTAACACCAAAACATCTTCGTTGCAAGCAAGTGATCCTGCAACCGACCTCCGGTCTTGTAGGGCAGCACTGCACTAACTACATTGCAAAGCAGCTTTGATGTTCTGTTCAAGTCAGGGTTGACCCATGAAACAGCAACATCGTACTCCATTGGGCCTGACTTCTTGATTCCTCCGCCGATGGGGTCAGAGTGGGATTCCGACACCATTGTTTTCAAAAAGACCCTGCCAGCTTCTCATTGCTTCTTCTCGGGGAGAAGGGCATTTTTCCGCAAAGTCCGGAGAAATGCTAGCCTGCCAAGCCGCGGCCGCCGTTGCGCGATCGAGAGTAGGAGAAAGGCCGTGACACGCAGTGAAAGGGCGTGCCTAAAATGTGTGGATACCAGGCCTATCCAGCACTTTAAAGTAGGCTGTTGATCTAAAATGATCAAGCATGAAGAGGTTTTACAATTTAAAGGGGGTGTTATTGATGTTATTGAATCAACAGTCACCTTAGCTGATGCTCCGTTTGTAGCTAACTAATCCCAACTCCCTATTAGGCCTATTACTTAAAACGCTTCCCTGCTACTAGCAAGAAACAAAGACTGTTTTGTGTTCAATCACAGGGGTAAGTTGTTCAGGGGAATTTCATCGATCAAACAGTGGAAGCGGTCCCCCCAATTTATATACAACCCATGGAATCTATGAATGAGGCTTTGGAAGGACTTGAAAAAAGTAGTATTTGCAGCAAAAGACGAAATGAGGCACACACACACAACTAGTTTTGAGATCGCCTAAGTAGGTAGAGCCTGGAGGCCATGAAAACAATTATGTTTACACCAAGTGGAGGCCAGGTAGAGCCAACAAACTTTTTTGGGGTCTCGGGACAGCACTGGGGACATAGTTTTCGGAAGCAGCCAAACAAACAAATGTGATCCAAAATGCAATGCAAACAAATAGTCATTGCTCGCTGCAATCAAAATATGCTTGAAAATGCAGTGCCGAAAAACGAGCGTTGGGGCTGCTGGCCCACGTGATGTCTGGAGAACACTTCAAAAGCCTTTGATGACTGGTGGCGTGCCCACAGCGCGAACAATTAGGAAGTGGTGTTGCAATCACAAGCTTTCTACTTTCAAAATGTTCCAGGGCTGTGTCCACGTGGAGACTTGCTCCCAAGGTGCATTTTGGATCCTATTTCTTGAGCCAACAGAGCTACAGAGCCTACCTAGGTTAGGCAATCTCAAAACTACGTAGTTATTTTACTATATTTTATCTAACTTTTAACGTCTAAGCATCAATTTGGATGAATTACAGTAGGAGGTTTTTGCTGGCAGCTCATGGGTGCAAAATCTATGCACCGCGAATCACATCACAGTTGGAAGCCACGTGTAGCAAGTTGGAAAGGGCGCAATTCAATAGTTTTGGGGACCGGACCACTGCGCATTTAGTTATAGGGATACGTTTAGTAGAACGGAGTGGGCATGAATGAAGATGTCCATTTCCGCGGAGAATGTCTTTGGGGCCACAATCTGTCAAAGCTGACTTCACCGCTTTGAGACATGGACACCCATGGACACCGTCGAACAACATCATCCGTCGAAAGGTGAAGAAACCAGTCGACGGGTAACTCCAATCATCCAAGAGAAGTGCATGCGGTGGGCACTTGCAGTGCGGTGGTGCATGCACGCCCAAAGGTCGGTGGTGTGAAAAAGACTATGTTTTTTTTGGGGGTTTGTTTTTGGACTTTGAGGATTTGATGGAATTTGGATTCCCTGCCTGTGGTGCGTCCCAAGCGCATGGTCTATCAAACTATCGGCTACGTCTTGACCCGAGTGGGCCAGGAAGCGAAACGCGAGAAGGCTGCGAAGCAGATCCAGGCCGTGACCCCGGCAAGACTCGGCCGCCGAGAAGACGAATTGACGATGTGACAGGTGGAGCAAACACACGCTTCTCCTGGCCCCCAGGATAACTACATAAACCTTTAAGATCCTTTAAGCATTTGTACGGTCTTTAAGCTTTTTTCGGGATTGGTGACACCACTATATAGTTAACATGAACCAGGTGGAAGGTTCGGTTCACCTCTATTTTCCAAAACTGAGGGAGTCAGACCAAACGCTTCTTTTTGTATGTCTAAGATCTTAGGGGCCTGTAACACCCAACTGGACTCCGCGGGGCGAACGCACAGGGCGAAGCAACTGCATCTGCGGATTGTCCCTGAGGGTGAAGCCAAACACAACAGCCAGTAGAGCAGAAAAAACCAGAAAAGCGGAAGAAAGCAACTAGAGCAAGCAATGGCAACAAAGGCCATAGAAAGCACACACCAATTAAAACAAGGAAACAATACGCCACAAAAGGACAAGAAATACGAAAGTACATAAAACAGAAGAAAAGCAAGGAAGTGCAAGAAAAGCACAAAAAACAACAGGAAAAGCCAGGAAAGCACGAGCAACCACTGAGAAGCAATGAAACGCCAGAACAGCAGCAAGTAGCAAATCCAACAAGAAGTTCCCTAAATCAACACAACAAGTCCACCCCCAAATAGCAATCCTTTACTTCATATGCCTAGAGTCTCTGGGATACGATGTGCTCTGTGAATTCCTTTGGTCCGAACTACATGCCCTTGAGGGATGCACTCAAAACCAAAAAGGTGTTCGATTTGACTGGCCTCAGCCGGATTCTTTGCTTTGGAGTGTGTAACATCCCGCAACATCTCGGAAGAAGAAAAAATCACACCATGCTTCAAGTCCACTGGTGCTTGCAACTCAAGGGGCCACGGTGCATGATGTCCGATGGAGAGCTGAGACCGGCCCAGGCAGCATATCGCCGGTATCAGCGCACCCTCACCTTCGCCCAGGAGAGTCGAGATCCGTCGGCGGGACCGATCCGGTGGACTGACCTGCCCGTAACAGCCATGGGTCGGCCCGGGTGGCGTGCCGAGATGATCCGAATGTGGCCGTTGGCCGGTTTTTGGGGGGGAGGGGGTGGCCACTGTAAGATCATGTAAGATCAACAAGGCACATAATATAGGCACATGCAAGATCCGTTCTGTCAGGTTACAGCTTACAACGTTACTACTGAAATAAAGAACAGCTCCTCTCTCTCTATATAGTATAGTATATATAGTTATATATCATGCTGGGCCCAAGAGCCACCAGTTGTTTGGAGAGATTGAGTTTAGAGATTATTTTTGCTGGCAGTTTTGGGTGACATTTGATTCGATATAGTATGATATTCTCGTGATTGAAAGATGAAGATTGACACGTCCAACCTGGACTTAGAGGCCAATTCTGTGTCAGACAATATGGCCATGTCTCAAGAGCTGGAGGTCTCCAGCCTCAAGTGGCACTTGCACCATTTTGCGCACCTTTGCTAAGCGTTGTCTATTGAACCGTGCTTTTATTCTTTGGACCATTAGATATCTTACAGTATCCTTTGAACACTATTTCCTTTTTCTGTGTTTTGTTTTTCGAGTTTCTCGAGTTTCCTCTTTTCGATTCTCGAGTTGATGATTGGCTGCTAGGAGTCCTTGTGGTTTGCGGACCCTGCTCACTCGAAGACACCCGGACCGGTCCTGGAAAAAACGACTCCACTTGACAGGACTACAGCTCGAGCCAACGTTGGGGAAACTCAGGACGTCAGTCAAAAAGTGGCCAACGGTGCCTGAAATACACCACACGGGTTTCGGACAAGGAAGTACACCAAGGACTCGGCAGAGGGGTTTTGGTCGATTAGTTCTTGCATCATCTTGCATCCCAGTCTTAATAATATATACAAAAAATATATGGACGATGTTTCTTTGGTTTCGCAGGATGCTGTTTGAGAGTCTATTTTTTCTACGCACAGTTCGGGAAAACCCTGCAGGTCAACCAAGGTATTGTTTTTGACCCACAGCCACATTGAGGTACAGGAACAATGAAGAACTGGCCATCGAGGATTGAGGTAGCACTCTATAGGTACCTTACGGATCTACTCAGCTCATCTCGGCTCTTCAGCTTCTCCTCTTACCTTTGGGGAAGACCATGGAAGACCTGGAGCATTTTGAGCATGCAGAGTTGGAAGATCCATGCGTTCCATCTCCGGGGCTGGGACAAAACATACAAAACTGCGGGTGTTCAAGATCCCAAGCCTCAACATATATATGATAAACATCCCCCCAAAAGAGACTGTTCGACTGTTCTATTCAATGTTTGGATGGAAAGCAGGGCGATCCTGTCCACGAACGATGGCACATCGGATGCCGAACGGACCTGGACCCTTCGCCGAACGGGGTCCACCACCGAGGCTGCTCGGACTTCACGGCTCCCCGGGCGCCGTTGTCCCCGGAGCGCCGCGAGAGTGCCGTGCAGTTGGTGGCTCGGCAGAGCGGGATACTAGTAACAGGTGCCACGCTAGTAGTAACAAGTGCCTTACTACTAGTAACAATAATGATTGGAGTGTGAGAACAGGGAGACCTCCCTGGCCGGTGGGTAGACTGGTCTATTTCCCAAACCTTCCAAAGGGTCACGTCCTGAGAAGTAGATCCTTTTTTGTTATACACCAAAATTAGAACACCCATTGATTTTTCGGAACGACAAAACAATCAGTCAGAACAATGGATACCACCCCAGATGTTCTTTTTTGCGTAGCTCACTTGTGTGGATCGGGTGATGTTGATTTTCCCGGTTCCTGGGTGAATCCCTGAATCCCTTTGGACATCTTTGGTAAACATATGTGAACATTGCAAAACAATTTTGTTCCTGATTGCGAATCCAAGTTTGGGTGACTGGATGACAGGGTGTACCGGCCCCAGCTGGCCCCACCGAGACTGAAGGTGGTTGGCCAGTTGTCACCACTGGGCCCGTTGTGCAGTTGGCCTGTTTGGGAGGTGGTTCTTGTTAAAAATATGTTAAATGATGTTAAATGTTCTTCGGTCCTACCCAAGAAAAGTGAATCATTTGATCTACAGCCCCCTCCCAAAGATCATTTTGGGCAGAGCCTGATCTTAAACATCACCATTTAAGACCATTTTTCGCCAGGAGTCTGGGTCAG